CTCTTTCCTAGTAGAAAGATGATTGTAAGGACCAGTGCTGCTGTAATCTGTCTAAATCAACAATACGCTTTGAAGTCAGTAATCTTGAGCTTTTTGAACGATCTGCAATTATATTCTGGAGCTGACAGACCATAGGCAGAATGCTTTCATGGTGTTTGCCATATGACTGTCCATTTAAGAGATGCAGTTTATCTCCCTGACACATCAGGGATAATATGACATAAACAGAACTCAAATATCTAAGTCCGTAACCCATGGTCCTGCATGGGTTTGTTTTGTTTGTTTTTTTCTAAAATGCAGCTGTATGATATTAAGTCCAGTGAAAAGCAAAATTGTTATGATGTCAGTTTATACTGAATTTTTCTGTCTTCTAACCAGGATGCAAGATACACATCAGTGTACCAGTTTGTCTTGAAAGAAGTAGCAATTCATTAGTATATCAATGCAAATTAAAGATATTGCAAGAATAACTTGTTTTTGAGACCTGTGACTCTTCTTGCATACTTATTACAAAAGCTGTTTCTTGCTTTAAATGTGGGCTTGCACTTAACCATTTTAATAGTGCTATGAAAATTAGATTATGTTAGTAGTTTGCCTATCTGAAAGTATTTCCTTATGACATGTTTCTAAATGGATCACATTCTTTCTTTTGATCCTGTTCATCTTTTTAGGAATGTCAAACCAGATCCTGTTCAACTGTTTCACCTTTTTTTCTTATTTAAGAAGAACATATCCTTTCAAAAAAGAGAAAGCTGAGTTATATTTAGTCAGACATTTGCTTTTACCTGGTCTCCTGAAGAGTGCTATACATTAGGACCTCTACTTGTAAAATTCATCATCCCTGTATAAGTAGTAAGTGTGTTGTGTTAGGATTAATATACTGTGTGATGTCGTAAGCGAACAAGCTTCTGCAGTTCCAAATATGCTGTAAGCTTCTTTTTCCAATAATACAGGCAAAGTCTAACTTGTACTAGCTCAGACAACTTACAGAGACTCCTTACTCTGGATCATCTTGATTTCCCTTGCTGGATTCAGCTTGTAATCTTTTATCATCTGTTCTCTTCTGTTGCTGTGTTTTTGTTTAGTATTTTCCATCTTCCTGTTCTTCCTCAGTAACAGTTTTAGCGTCTTTAGTCTCTTGGGAGTTGCGAAGATATTTGAGCAACTTTAAAATATAAGCGTTGTGTATGTTGGCATTGGAGGGTGTGCTCTGCCGTGAAGTGAGTGGACTTGAGAAAGCTTGATGCAAGTCATCAATTCTAATTTTTTCTTGCTTTTGTACATAACTTCTCATTACAAAAGAGTTTCTCCTTGGTTAAGACTTGTTTGTTTGGCACCTCATAGATCATCTACGCTAAATTTAGCATCTTGTTAATGAGGTGAATATAGTCTATGTTAAAATATTTGGCTTTATAGTGTTTGATGTGACATTTATCTGGTAGATTGATTTGTGTTTGAGTTAAGACTGGAATTCAGAATGGCAGCAACTGTTTAAGTGGTAGCTATTAAGTAAAACATCTCTTGATTTTTTCTTGGTATGCTCTTGTTCCATGTTTCTAATCATTTTTCCTGCAGTAGAAGGGCTTTTTCTTAAAACTTCATCAAAACTTCCTGCACCACAGGACGCAGTTCCCAGCACCAGCTGGACCAACTACTCCCGAAACCTCAATCAGAGGCTCCAGCTCAGACTGAGCTCTCAAGGGAGGATGCAGTTCTCCAGGTCCTGTGCTATTGGCAACACCTAATGGCCAGTTGCTGAGGCTGGAGCAGGGGTAGATGGTGCTCTTGTCTGCAGGAGATTTGGACTGGTTGAGGATTTGTGTCGCCATTACAGGAGCTGCAGGAGGAGATCAGCAAACTGTGCAGCATCAGAGATGATGAAAAGGAAGTTGACTGGATCTTCTCTAGGACTTTGCAAGAACCTGAGCCCCCAGTTGAACTGAAGAAAGGGCAGGCTGAGTCTGTGTTTATCAGTCTGGGAAATGCAGACTCCTATGATGGCAAATACTGGAAACTTGTGACTTCTGGCAACAGCAAGAAGGCTCCTTCCTACCTGCAGATCTGCATCTACAGAATAGGTTCAGTACTCTGGTAGCATGTGAGGAAACAGGAAGCTCTGTCCAGCGAAGCATCTAAGCCAACTGAGCCTGAACTGTGAAACCACAGCAGGAGGAAGTGGCAAGAGATAGTAGTGGGAGACACCCCCCTGTGGGGGACGGAGGCCCCCAGCTGCCAATCTGACCTGGAGGTCAGATCTATCTAGGGAGGTCTGCTGCTTGCCAGGGCAATTGCATGGGGCTCGCTTGCCTGGGACATTGTGGAGAGACTGCTGAGGCTTGTCTGGCCATCGGACTCTTCCTTCCTACTGCTTTTCCCTGTGGATATCAGTGATACTGCCATGGGAGACCTGGAGTGTTATCAAGTGTGACTGCATGTCTCTTGGGGCAAGGTCATGTGCACCAGATGATTTCCCCTCCCCCACCTCCCCTTTTTATCCTGCTGGTGTTGGGGGAAGAGCTTGAGGAGGAGTGGATAGGTCCTGCAGGTTAGCAACTGGTTGCACAGCTTGTGGCAGCAGGAGGGATTTGCCTTTTAGGACCATTAAATCCTCTTTGAGTATCAAAGGCTTCTAGGAAGAGAAGGGATCCACCTGATCCAGTGAGGCAAAGCGTTTTTGCCAATATGCTGGCAAACCTGGTGAGGAGAGCTTTAAGCTGGGAGTAGCATGGGAGAGAGGTGATGACCCGCAAACAAGTGATGAAGTGGTAGACCAGGTCAGCAAACAGAGTGCAGGGTAGTGTGAACAAGAAAGACCTCATAATGAACACAGCGAGGCTAAAGGGGGCCCACTTCAAGCATGCATACAAATGAGGAGGTGCATATAAGACAGCATGAAGGGGAAAGCTCTTCCACTTCTTGTGGAAAATCAGCATGGCTGGTGCCCATGTGAAGTGCTTGCGCGCCAATGCACACAGTATGATTTAAAAACAAGAAGAATTAGAGTTGCAGGGCTGTGATCTCATTGGGATCGTGGAGACTTGGTGGGATAACTCACATAACTGGAGTGTTGCAGTGGATGGATACAGGCTCTGTAGGAAAGACAGACTGGGAAGTGTGTGTGTGGGGGGGGG